GGCGGAGGAGGGCACCGAGGGCCGGCCGATGAGCTAGGGAGGTGAGGCATTCGCGGGGGGCACGCAGGGAGCCTGGGTGGGGGTCCGGGAGGCAGGGGAGGCAGAGTCTGCGGGATCCCAGACTCCAGAAGAGGAGGCCGGCTGTCCCAGGGTCCAGCAGAGTGGGGTCACTCCCGTGGGGGGAGCGAGCTAGCCAAAAGGTCTTCCCCGGGCAAGTCCAGGACCAGACTGAGCTCCAGGAAGTGTCGCCCTCTGAGGAAGGGCTGCCTACCCCGCACCCCAGACTCCCTACCTGGGAGGGGGTGGTGCATTTCTGCGGCACCAACTTTCACCTGCGAGTCACTAAGTAGCCCCCCATGTGACTGCTTGGGGTGCGCACTTGACCATCAGGCTGATGTAGGGAATCGACATCCACACGATTTGCTTCAAGAAGCAAATGCAATCAGTGCAAGGTGCATTGGCTCAAGCCTGTAATCCCAGCACTTTGGGAGGCGGAGGTGAGAGGATTGCCTGAGTCCAGGTGTTCGAGACCAGCCCGAGCAGCATGGCAAGACCTCATCTCAACATTAAAGAAAATAATAAGCCGGGCGTGGTGGCACATGCCTGTGGTTCCAGCTACTCGGAAGTCTGTGGCGGAAGGATCACCTGAGCCCAGCAGGTCAAGGCTGCGGTGGCCATGAGCAGCGTGCCACAGCATTCCAGCCTGGGCGACAGAGTAAGACTCTGACTCAAAAAAAAAAAAAGAAAGAAAGAAAGTTTTAGGCCAGGCACAGTGGCTCACACCTATAATCCCAGCACTTTGGGAGGCCGAGGTGAGAGGATTGCCTGAGCCAGTGGGTTTCAGACCAGCCTGGGCAACTTGGCGAGACCTCATCTCTAAAAATAAATAAAAATCAAAGTAAGAAATAAACATTGGGCTTAGAAATCTGACTTTAACAACTTGCCCTGAGCCTCCCTGCCTCCACTTCCCCATGAAGCATTTCTAAAATTTCAGTAAAGTCAGAGAGGAAAGTATTTCAAATACAAGTTCTGCATGTATGCACTGGACCTGCCTAGTAGGCAAACGAATGTCAAACCTACCCACATGGCTAGCAAAAGCTGGGCCCTAGCATTTAGCTGTGATACCATTTAGCTGTGACTTCCAGAAACTGGGAAGTCAGCAGTGTAGTTAACATAATGTCATGAATATGCAGTATTCCTGGTAGCCATCTGCCATAGGGGCACATCCTTTGGACTACAGGACAATGTCTGTATACACAAAGCTATAAGTCTGTGTTCCTTGGATTTCTGCTATCAAAGTTCAGCCAGGTGACGTGTCAGAATTAGGTGCCTGCGGTTTGCCCTGTATTTGTTTTCGTTGTTCCCACTCCTTGGTTTCTACTGCTCATTACTTAGAGGAGGGATAGTGCCATGTTACTGCTGATAAGTTCGTCTTTTTTTTTTTTTTTTTTTTTTGAGTCAAGGTCTGAGTCTGTTGCCCAGGCTAGAGTGCAATAGTGTGATCACAGCTCATCGCAGCCTCGACACTGGACTCAGGCAATTCTTCTGCCTCAGCCTCCTGAGTAGCTGGAACTACCATCAGGCCTGGGTAAATTTTTATTTTTATTTATTTATTTATTTATTTTATTTTTTTTTGAGTTGGAGTCTCACTCTGTCGCCCAGACTGGAGTGCAGTGGCTGCATCCGGCCACCGCAGCCTCGACCTGCTGGGCTCTGGTGATCCTTCTGTCTCAGCCTTCCGAGTAGCCGGAATTACAGGCATATACTACCACGCCTGGCTGATTTTTTTTTATTTATTGTAGAGATGAGGTCTCACTGCCCAGGCGGGACTCGAACCCGTGGGCTCAGGCAATCCACTCACCTCAGCCTCCCAAGGCGCGGGATTACAGGCTGAGCCACCAAGCCTGGCTAATTTTTATTTTTTACAGAGAAGTCTCGCTAGGTTGACCAGACTACTCTGGAACTCCAAGGCTCAAACAATTCTCCTACCTCAGCCTCCCAAAGTGCTGGGATTATGGGTGTGAGCTACTGCCAATAAGTGAGTCTTTTTTTTTCTTTTTTTTGAGTTGGCATCTCACTCTCACCCAGGCTGGAGTGTAGTGGCACACTCACGGCCACCCCAGCGTCAATCTGCTGGGCTCAGGCGATCCTTCTGTCTCAGCCTTCCAAGTAGCCGGAACTACAGACGTGCACTACCACGCCTGGCTAATTTTTTTGACTTATTGTAGAGACAAGGTCTTGCCAGTTTGCCTGGGCTGGTCTCAAACCTGTGGGCTCAGGCCATCCACTCGCCTCAGCCTCCCAAAGTGCTGGGATTACAGGCTGTGCCACTGAGCCTGGCCAATAAGTGAATCTTAATAACAGGATAGAATGTGGGAGTAATGCCTGGAGTCCTTTACCAAGCTGGAGCATTACTTGTGTGGGACCTTTGAAACCTGTCTATGCCCCAAAAAAGAATTAACAATTTTTAAAAAAGAGATGCAGTCTTCAGCACTTTGGGAGGCAAAGACAGAAGGATTGTTAAGCCCAGGAGTTCGAGACCAGACTGGGCAACATAGTGAGACCTTGTCTCTACAAAAAAAAAAAGAAGTCAAAAAATTAGCTGGGTATGGTGGCGTGTGCCTGTAGTCTCAGCTACTCTGGAGGCTGAGGTTGGAAGGATCACCTGGGCCTAGGAGGTTGAGGCTGCAGTGAGCTGTGATCGTGCCACTGCATTCCAGCCTGAGTGACAGAGTGAGACTCTGACTCAAATAAAAAAAGAGAGACATGAGGTCTGGAGGTCTTGTTATGTCACAGTGGTTGAACTCAAACTCCTGGGCTCAAGCCATCCTCCCACCTCAGCCTCCTGAGTAACTGGGATTGCAGGCACAGCCTCTGCACCCGGCTAAGCAATTTAGAGTCCAATTTCATGTAACTTGCATGCAGCATGCTACATATAATGAGTTCATAGGAGCTAAAAATCAAGCCAAGGTTGGGAACACAAGAAATCAGAGACAAGAAGCCTTGGGACGCATCTCAGGAGGGAGACTCAGAAAAGGGCAGGGCGGATGACGCCCCGGGGCATGGTCTGGAGATGCCGTTCTCACGGAGCGCCACCTGGCTAAGGGGGTGCCCTGCTGGCCTTCCTTGCGGAATCCGTGGGAAGCTGGCCCCTGGGAAGGGCGACTCCCAGCATAGCCTGCCCTCCCATCTCTCCATCTGCCTTGTCTTCTGTGGTCCCTCTTGTCCCATCTATCCTGGCCTGAGACCTTGACCTACCCGGTCTCCTTGTACCAGACAGTAATGAGAATAACTGGGTGGGTCTTGAGGGCCAGATGCTGATTTGAGTCTCTCTGAAGCCTTTGTGGGGGAAACTTATTTGAAACCTTGTAAACGGTTTGTCCACCACCAGTCAACCTCTAAAGATGGGCAGAGGGCCCCACACTTGGTCTTGACATTGAGGATACTCTGTTGGGCCGTGGAGGCAGGACCAGACCAGAGAGACGAAGTCATGGCCCCGCGCAGGGCTGTTCTCGCCGGCATAGCGGCCGGTTCCTGTTTCTGTGGGGGAAGCATGCGGGTATCCCGTGGAAGTTTCCCAAGAGACTTGAGCGTCCTGAGCCTTGTGGAGAAGTTCCACGTGTGCACTTGCCTTTCGTGTGTGATCTCGCACATGCCTGGGACTGCTTGCACACATGTGGGGGTGCATGCACAGCTGTGTGTGTGGATGGGCATGCGTGCAACTGTGTGTGCAGATGGGCATGCGTGTGGCTTTGTGCACATGTGTGGCTGCATGTGCACGCGTGGGTGTCCATGTGGGGGTCAGGCCCGCAGGGTCCACAGCATCACCGCCTACGGGTGTCTCCCCCATGGGAGGTGACGGGCTGTTTCTGCAATCCCCTCCTGGGCTTATGTAGATGGCCATCGTGAGAGGATGGCTGGTACTGGAGACCGTCTTTGCATGACATCTGTACTGGACTCCCCTGAAGCTTTGGCTGGCTCCCAGAAACATGTACCTCTGGATATGTAAATTACATCAGTTTGCTAAATTATGAAAGTCTGTGTGTGAAGTTGTATCAGGAGAGATCACTCTATGTCTTTCTGTCTTGGAGCCTAAAGTCCTAGAAGAAAATCCATTGTTTTCTTTTATTTCAGCCTTTCAAAAAATGTTTTCCAAAAGTGATACATGCTTATTAAAAAAAGACAAAATAGAAAATGAACCTCATAGGTGAATTCATTCCCCAGGGACCATCACTATTAACATCGCAGCCCAAGCCCTTTCATGTATGTCTACTTAAACAAGATAGGGTCATGGTGCACGTGCTGTTGTGTAAGCTGCTTTTTTTCACTTAATGATATGTGTGTTTGTGTCTTCCCACGTCAATACATAGAAATTTGGGTCTGGGCACAGCGGTTCATGCCTGTCATCCCAGTACTCTGTGAGGCTGAGACGGGAGGATCGCTTGAGCCTAGGAGTTTGAGACCAGTCTGGGCAACATAGCAAGACCTCGTCTCCACAAAAAATAAAGAAATTAGCCAGGTGTGATGGCACACACCTGTATTCCCAGCTTTTCGGGAGGCTGAGGCAGAAGGATCACCTGAGCCTGGGAGGTTGAGGCTGCCGTGAGCTGTGATCGAGTCACTGCACTCCAGCCTGGGCAACAGAGTAAGGCCATAACTAAAAAAAAAAGTGCTTATTTCTACCAGCCACCTGGTATTTTCTGTGTGGATGGGACCATCCTTCAGAACTGTTAGAACTGTTCCGTTGGAGCTGTGGTAGGTGACGCTGTGATGCGTGTCTCCGTAGACCTCCCTTCGGCTATCTGTCCAGGTGCCTCGGAAGAAGAAGCTTCTGCATAGAGAATACTGCCTTGGGAGCTTTGACACATGCTGTCATTTCCTTTGTCACGAGGGTCCCGTGGAATGCCATCCCGCCTTGCTGGGTCTCCCTGTGCCTTCCCTGAGGAGTGTGGACCCTCTTTCAAACCCTAGATGCGCTTGTTGCCGGAGCAGAGAGTCTGCCTTCGTCTCCCGAGCGCCACAAAGCATGGCCTGGCCGTGGAGTGCTGCCCCCGCTGCCTCACCCTCTGCAGAGCCCGACCTCGATGGCCCCACGAGGCCCAGCCCACAGCACTCCAAGGAGGAGGAGGAAGAGGACAGCCCAGCCTGGGAGCGCGCCCTGAGCAGCGGCCTCTGGTGAGTGTCCTGGCCCCGTGGGCTGGGCCTGCCTGTCTGGTGATGGGACAGTGAGCCCAGAGGGGGCCCTGAGGGGGCTTCCCAGGGTCAGCAGAGGGTCCAGGAAAAAGGAGAGACAGCCAGGCCTCACAGCAGCCAAGGAGGGCCCGGTCTTTGGCCCTTCACCGCCGGAGATCCTGCCTTCGGAGTGGACCAGGGTGGTGGCCACAGGCAGGGACGGGCTTGAGGGAACAGGGACCACATGATCCCCTGTGGCCCTCTTCTGCTTCCATGACACAGAAGTTCTCTGGGTCTTGTGCTGAAAGGGCACAACACTCACAGGACAGCCTCCGCACAGAGGACGCTGCCTTGCTTCCATGGGGATGATGGAGGGGGCGTCTCAGCAGAAGACCCTCTGGAGGCTGTTGCTACCCAGGAACGAGGGAAGGGGAGGGCTTGGCCAGGAACCAGGACCACCACTCAGTGCACTGAACCAGTGCCTCCCTGCCTTACTTCAGCCGCCCTGAAGGTGGCTGAAGTGCTCGAGCAAGGGCTGGTCCGTGGGCCACATGGCCCCTGCTGCCTGTTTGTGTCAATAAAGTTTTATTGGGACACAGCCATGCCCACTATTTATATATAGTCCAGGACTGCTTTTGTATATTTTGGGTTCTTTTTTTTTTTTTTTGAGTTGGAGTCTCACTCCTCCGCCCAGGATGGAGTGCAATGCATGTTCACGGCCACTGCAGCCTCGACCTGCTGGGCTCCAGCGATCCTTTCACCTGAACCTTCCAAGTAGCCAGAACTACAGGCACGCGCTACCATCCCCGGCTAATTTTTGATTTATTGTAGAGACGAGGTCTCGCCAAGTTGCCAGGGCTGTTCTCAAACCCCTGGGCTCAGACAATCCACTCACCTTGGCCTCCCAAAATGCTGGGATTCCAGGCTGAGCCACTGAGCCCGGCTACATTTTGGGTTCTTTTTTGAGATCGGGTTTCACTCTGTCACCCAGGCTGGAGTGTGGTGTCGCACTCACGGCACCACAACCTCCAACTCCTGGGCTCAGATGATCCTCCTGCCTCAGGCTCCCGAGTAGCTGGAACTACAGGCACATGCCACCATGACTGGCTAATTTTTCTATTTCTTTTTTTTTTCCCCTCCCCTTTTCTATTTCCTGTAGAGATGAGGTCTTGCTTTGTTACCCAGGCTGATCTTGAACTTCTGGCCTCAAGCAGACCCCCCACCTTAGCCTCCCAAAGTGCTGGGATTCCAGGCCTGGGCCCCCGTGCCCGGCCCCTTGCACATTATCCAGTGGCTGAGACACAGACTGTGTGGCCCACAGAGTCTAAAATATTTGCTGCCTGGCCCTTTCTCAAAAAAGCTTGCTGACCCCAGCCCTGAAGGTTTGTAGTGAGAGGACAGGGAAAGTCCATAAGACCCGCCCCCCCGAACCCTGCCCATCAGAAGCCCCTGGCATGTCTCCCAAACTTGAACTCACCCAGCAAACTTCAGACACAGGGCTCAGGCGTGGGAAGCCTCTTGGGCCCGCGGTGGCAGCGTTTTAAATGCACTCAGCAGAGGCAGCTGGCCCCCAAGTGCCACAGAAATCCACGTATTTACCAGAAGCCCAGCTGCTTCGCTTCAGCGGCCGGGGGATTGTGAGTTCTTTATTCCCAGAACCTTCCAGCCTCGACTCTTCCCTGTCGTGCTGTCGGCCTGTTTCTTTTCTCCCCACCCCACTCCCACGTGTTTCTGTCAGAACAAAGAATGCTTTTTGCATTCTAGAAAACAAGTGCAAATGTGCCATTCATGAGACCGCGTCGCTTGTCCAAACCCAGACACATCAGGAGTCCTTATAGGCCAGCTCAAAGGGGAAGCGCCACTTGAAGTAGAAAAAAGTGAGTGACTCTCAAAAGGGGTCGGGAGCATCATGGAAGGTACCAGAAAGGCTTGTGTGCAGAGGGCTCTTCTGCCACGGGGTCCCTTGGTGGCAAGCCCCCGTTGGGGCTGGCAGAAAGCCGCCCAGCCACTGCCTGACATGGGCTGCTTTTGTGTACACATGACTAGAGGTGTACCAGGGTGTGCCGTGGCAAGCCGGGCGCCATGCTGGGTACCTGCCTTGTCCAGTGTCGCCCTCACACAGCTCAGCAAGGCTCCGAGAGGTTCCGTGATGCTCCCGGCGTCACATTCCACTTGCCTGGCCATCTGGGAGCTGGGTTGGAACCCGGGCAGTGCTGCTGGCTGCTGCCTGTCTGGCCCGTACCCCACTGCCCTGTGTGGCCCCTTGTCCCTGTTGCTCTGATTTCTTTTTTTTTTTTTTTGAGTTGGAGTCTCACTCTGTCGCCCAGACTGGAGTGCAGTGGCCGCTCCTGGCCTCCGCAACCTC